AATTCTCGACCACCTCTTATTGGGTAGTGAAATCGGTAAAAATGGGCAGTTTCTTGACTTAATCGATAGAAAAAAAAATGGGAGAGTCTAAAGGGAAATAGCTATGAGTTTGGTCGGGACCTGAACAATGGAAATTAGCCCAAAAAAAATAGGGTCAAACAAGTGGGCGAAATCGCCAATTTGCAAAATATCGCCGAGGTCGCTAACTTCGACGATGAGCGTAATTCATCAGTTTTTCCATCAAATTTCGTTTTTTTTTATTGGTGTCATTCATATCGGGAAAGGATTCTCTATCATTTCATAAGAATATTTTTTTTTTTTTAACCCTTTGACTGTGTAGGCGTTGGCCGTACTATATCGTCTTCGGCCAGACGAGGTACAGTGTTTGAGTATATATACTCAATTTCTAGCGGTTCAAATCAAGCAGGAGAAAGCTGGTAGGCCCACATGTGATAGAATGGGGTTGTGTGGTCAGTGTGCTCCATATAAATAAAATTCCTGTACGAGCACGCAGTGCATATTGAGAAAACTACGACCGTTTTTTTTTACATATAATTCCCACTTTGTGGTCTATTGTCGTTTAGTATTTATGGTTTGTATTCTCATTTTCTTGGTCTCAATTTGATAGAAATGGAAAACATATATGAAAATAGAGGTGGATTTTGATTGAATTTAATAAGAGGAACGAACCTGGAAATGGAGCTCAAAGTAGGGGTAATTGTTTGTTTTTGCCAATGGTTCAAAAGTAAACAAAATGATTTCATTGTCCAATAAATGTCCAACTAGCCATTCTCATTATGCAGTAAAATGGGTTGATGTTATTTATACAATATTACAGTATTGCAGTAGTTGCATAATGTAAAGTTTCTATTTTTGTTTGAATAAAAGTTCAAAAATAGAAATGCAGTGTATAATATCGAGGGGGCCTCGAGAGCTGACTGATGAACAAAGAAAATGTTATATTAGAGGCCAGGTATGTCTGCATTGTTGAAATAGCTATGAGTTGTTTGGTCGACTTATAGAAACAATGGGAATTAGCCGAAATAGGGGCTCAAAAGTGGGCGGAAGCGAAATGCGAGTTGTAAAATTGCGAGGTCACTAACTTTGGGAGAGCATAACTCCATGAGTTTTCCATCAAATTTCGTTTTTTTTTGGTGTCATTACAATCGGGAAAAGATTCTCTATTCATTTCATTAAATTTTTTCTTTTTTTATTTTTAAAATTTGATTTTTTTTTCACCCATCGAATACCAGGAGGACACCTCAGGTTTGGGGGTTGCGAAGTCAAGTGGTTAAGGGAACCTCTCGTAGGGAGAAGTTCACATCCTGAAATTTCCTTCGTATCCAAAAGCGAAAAATCGACTGAATGACGGTTTGTATCCTGAAAAATTCTCTTGGTGGGGCATTCGTAAGCCGAGGTTCTACTGCATTTCGTTCTGACTCATTGCATATGAAAAATATGCTATCCACTGTGACGTTATTCATTTGATGTCCAGGCAGTGGTATTTAATAACATACATGTTATTAAACCATGACGTGTATGTATATACAGTAGACCGTCATTTAGCACGAGTTTATCTGGCAGGATTTGAGTATAGCACGAATGAAGAATTACGGGACACAAATTTTATTTAAACATGTTGTAAACTCAATTTAACACGATGCGCAGAGGGGAAAAAAAAAAATTTCGAGCCTGCGGTCGCCCACACGGTGGTTATGCCAATGGAATTAATGGGGAGGCTACCGCCATCCCCCCGCCCACCCACACCAAAGCTTCCCCAGCTTACCGTTTGGTTCATATGCCATGTAGGACGAAGATACTTGGGACACCTCGCTGAGTTTATATACATTCATCGTACTACATTATTCATATTGCCATTTGTTAAATTGCAAGCAATCAAGCCACAAGTCTAAGCTACAAAGTGTTGCTGAAAAGTTGACTAGAAACAGGTTTAAAGTACAAGACTAAAGAAACCGCCCAAAGAAAAATTGAGATTATTGGATAAGCTTAAGAGTGGATACATGTGGTGGACATAGTGAGGGCTTATGGCCTTAATGACAAGTGTCAGTTGTACAAATTAAAAAGAACGAGTTGAATATACGGAAGCTTTTGTAATGAAGAATAACCCAAACATGGTCATTCTCATGAAAAGGAATGACATGTAAGGTCCCAACAGGTAATAAAACAGAAAACTTTGGTTGCTTGAGTGGACCCTGAACAAAAGCAAAAGAAAGGTGCCACCAATTCAGTTCCTCTTTAATTAGGGAGACAAAGGCCTTACAGTTGTTTAAAGCAGTGGTGATAAGGAAGGCCTGAAAAAAGTGTGTGTTTAGCACAGGTGGCTTCCACACCTTTAAGTTGCATAAGTTACATAATATTAAAGCATCTTCTAGTGCAAGTGTTCAGTGATTCATACAGGCTAGCAAGTCATTTCCCTGCTGAATTGCAGGAAATTATTTCTTGAGGGTGGCTATTGACCCAAATTGTGTTTATGCTGATGAGGACAAAGCGTTTTTTTTTTTTTTTTGGGAAAAAAAAAAAAATGCCCAACACGAACTTATTTCAGTTAGCTCAAGAGAAGAGTGTACTGGCTTCAAGACAGCAAAGGCATAACTTCACCTTCTCCTTTGCCGATAATGAATCAGGTGATTTTCAAGTGTAAGCCCCAAGGTTATTACTAATTCCACGAGAATTCTCATGCTTTGAAAGGTGTAAGATAAAAAAATACCTTACCAGTAATTTGGAGGTCAGGTCAATCAAAACCAGTCAGCATGGATGACAGAGGAAATATTTATTTTATTGGTATTAGCATCACTTTATACCTGAAGTCAAGTTTTACCCTGCAACAGCAAGTACCTTGGCATTTAAGGCTCTGCTTCATTCCTGATAAATTTCCCCTACCTCTCCCACATGCTTTGCTGGACGTGATCCCACATGTAAAAAGTTGTATTTTACCTTCCAAATACAACATCTCTAATACACCACTGGAATCGGGGAGTTATCAAGTCTTTCAAAATGTAATACACAAAAAACTGTTACGAAAAAAAAAAACTAGTTGCATCAATGGACTCTGATCCATTTGGCAGTACCATGCTTCTGGAATAAATTTAACATTGCAGATGCTATCAGCTAAGCTAAAAGTGTTATGGAATGAAGTGCCCCAATCAACATTAAATGCAGGTGGGGGAAAGTTATGGCCTTCTGTTGGTTAATTTTTTCATGGTTTTCCCTTGCTTGAGAGTCAGGCTAAGGAAATTCTTCAGCTGGCAAGGAGATTTACCAGGTGATGGTTTTGAGATATGAAATGAAGATGTGAATGAGTCTCTTTTTTTTTTTTTTTTTTTTTTCCCATTTTTTTTTTTTTTTTTTTTTTTAGAAGATGATGATGATGAGGACAGGCGTCCACGAGGAAATGGAGGAAATGTTGGCAGGTCAATGAACAGATACAAGGGAGGGAGATAAAGTATAAGATGAAGAAGCACCTGAAAGAGAAAGAAAACATTGCAGCAGTTTCGTGAGCAGTTCCATGCTGCTGTTGCTAAACTAGCCCAAGACTTTTTCACTGAATGAGGACCCTGACAAAATTCAGAAGCAGTAGTGCTTTGAAAATGGGGTCTAGACCAGCTGATGATGCCTTTACCATCAGCTGTATAATGTATTGCAGGGTTTAAAAGAGCCAAAGGGAGATCATTACAGATTTATGCACACTCTCCATACAACCATGACTTCCAGTACCAGAACCTCTACCATCCACTTCTGTCGACAACCAAAACCAAACCCTCCACCCCAGCCCAGTAGGGCCACACCATCCATATCATTTCTCCAACAATCATCCACACACACCATTACCCACAATTTAATGTAAGAAATCTATTATTTCTATGCATTTGTGTCTTAGCAGTAATATATCAAAACGAAATGAACTTCAATTACATATTCACTTTTATAAAGGACAGTCTACTTGTAAGTTCAACCTAATTTATATGTATTTTCACGTTATTTTATGATTGTTCATTGTTCAATGGGTTAAGGAAGCAGTATTGTATTATATTTTCCTACCAAACAATATTGGGGCACCAAACATTCGCCATTTTTTCATTTCCAACATTCGCGAGGTTTCTTGATCCCCTAACACTCGCGAATGTTGAGGGGGGACTTGTATTAGGGCTTTCTATACCCACATTGGAAACAGGTAATGCATAAGCTTAGCAAGAGTAACACCTTCGACAAAGGGTAAGGTATATCAATGCAGTCCCCCCATCCCAGTGTGGGCCTTTCAAATGGTATGTATACTTGATTCTCACACAAATAATTGAACTCACACCAGTACCCATACAAGTGAAAAAACTTACACTGTAAATTGTATTTATTGTATTTGAAGATACCTTACATTCAAAGAGAACACAGAATTTATCAACTACACTAAATCTACTATAACAAACGGTCAGTACGGTTGCGTTAGACGCAACCGCCCAGGGAGGTAATTACCGTTCCTGCCAAGTGAATGTAAAAATGAAAGCCTGAAATGTTTTACATGATGTAGGGATTGCTGGTGTCCTTTTTCTGTCTTCATAAACATGCAAGATTTCAGGTACATTGGCTACTTCTACTTACACTTAGGTCACTCTACACATACATGTAAAAAGCATCTTATATACACACCGCTTCTCCTGGGTTTTCTTCTATTTTCTTTCCTAGTTCTTGTTTATTTCCCTTATTCTCCATGGGGAAGTTGGAAACAGAATTCTTACTCTGTAAAGCCATGTGTGTGGTAAGAGGCAACCTAAAATGCTGGGGAGCAAGGGGCTAGTAACCCCTTCTCCTGTATAAATTACTAAATTTAAAAGTGAAAACTTTCGTTTTTTTCTTTTTGGGCCACCCGGTGGCCGGTGGCGATGACGATGACGATGACGATGCGGATGATGATGAAGATGCATTGTTGAAGAAAAGAAATACTGATGGATAGGGACCTTAGGAATATCAAAGTACTCCAAAGAAGCCAATTTCGCCACTGAGGAACAGAAACCCAACTCTCGATGTGATCATCCACAGTGGACTGTAGAGTGTGGGGTGATTTGGAGCCATCACGAAGAAAATCAGCTCCATACTGGCTTATCTATGGTATATGTGGCCACCACTTCTTCTTGCTCCTGGCCGGGCTTTCACCTGATGGATCATGAAAGAAAAGAACAATAATTTTTAAAAAAGAACTAACAACTCTGGAAGGGCAATGAAGGGAGGGAGGAAGCTGCACACCGCGCCAGGATGAGGACGGGAAGAAGGAAAAAAGGAAAAGAAAGAAGAGGAGAAGTCAAACAAAAAGGAGGAAAAAAGAAGGAAATTTGTAGGATTTACAAAAATGCTGTGACCTTTATGATTAATCAGTTACTTTTGCAATAATTTTTTGTAATTACAACAGTTAACACAACTAGCAATTCCAAGTCAATCAATTTAAAATAACAATGAAAACTAATACAGTTCTAAACAAGCTCACAAGATATAATAAATATAACATTTAACGTTATGTGAGGAGGAAGAGGGGGGGGGCGGGGGGGAGAGAAAGGAAGCAATATGGATGAGGGAAGATGAGGGATGAGAAACAAAGAGCTAAGTATAGCAGCAGTTACTCACCGCTTAGGGGGGACACAGCAAAATGTGTGCTAACAGCCCCGCAGAGCAGTACTAAGGGCGCCAATTTATCATCCAGTCAGCTCCCCCCACCCTTCACCCCCTGCAGTAGGGGGGTGTGAGCAGGCTCACCTCTCCCCCCGCTTGGCGATTGTTGGGTAGTGGGGGGGTTCGGTTTACTAACGGGGGCCTGTAGCAGCAACAGCAGTAAGCTAGTAGAAGTTTTCAGGAACAGCAGCCACAGTGCAACTGTGTGTTGCTGTGGCAGCTTCTATGGCCTCTTTCCTATGGAAGAGGCAGTGCAGATACAGTAGGTGATCTGGTATAGTTAACTTATCCATTATTTTGTAATTTAAAAGAACACCTGAGGCATTTGTGGACACAAAGAACATTATCCGTGGAGGCAAAATGGAGAATGTATCAGAGCAATCACAGCATAGTGGTACCAACACTTATATAGTGTGAAGTTATGGGTTTTAATCACTGCAGCGAGGAAGCGGCTGCAGGCAGGCAGAGAAGATGCCATGTCTGAGGGCAAGGTGTGGTGTGAATATTATGCAGAGAATTCATAATTTGGAGATTAAAAGGTGTGGGTTACTAAAAGTATTATCTAGAGAGTTGAGGAGGGGTTACTGAGGTGGTTTGGACATACAGAGAAGATAGAACAAAATATGATAGCTGGGAGGGTGCATAAATCTGTAATGGATGAAAGGGTAGGGGTCATCCTAGGAAAAGTTGGAGGGAGGGAGTCAAGAAAGTTTTGCATGCATGGGGCTTGGATGTCCAACAGGCATGTGTGACCATGTTAGATAGGCGTGAATGAAGGCAAGTGCTATTGGAGTGTGAGGAAGGTGACATTTATAAAGGGATTCAGAGAAACTGGTTAGCCAAAGCTGGAAGTACTCAGCCTGCACTCTGAAGGAGGGGTGAGGATACTGCAGTTTGGAGGGGCATCTGAGCTGTAATGTCAGCATGCCTCTGGTAAGATACTGATGGAGTGAGTGATGATAAAAGTGTTTCTTCTTTTTTGGGGGTCACTCTACCTTGGTGGGAGATGCCTGGTATTAAAAAAATAAAATTCTACCTTTGCATCAAAGTATACTTGACAAAAAAGTTACAATATGAACATGAATACAAAGTTCTTACCGTCATATTATCAAACTTTGTAGAAGAGTTGTTTATTGCTGACATTTCTTGATTAATTAGAAGTGGAGAAACATAGGTGGTGGTAAAGCCATCAACTACTGGTTGAAAGTGTCGATCCAGGCTGATAAACCACTGTCTGACTGCAGCAGGGATGCGACTAACACATTCATAATATACCTTACATGCTTGATGAGCCAGCAACTGAGATGTAGTATTTGCTGTAGGAAAAAAAATACAGGTGCTCAGAATACAACACTTTAGAAGCATATACGTATAAAGATACACAACACATCCCTCTAAACTGCCAATATCCTGAACCCCTCCTTTAGAGTGCAGGCATTGTACTTCCCATTTCCAGGACTCAAGTCCGGCTACATAAAAATAACCGGTTTCCCTGAATCCTTTCACTAAATATTACCCTGCTCACACTCCAACAGCTCGTCAGGTCCCAAATACCATTCGTCTCCATTTACTCCTATCTATCACGCTCACACATTGAAGTAGTCTTCCTCTCTTATACACACCCTAACCTGAGCCTCACTATCCTCATAAAAGCTCTTTACAGCATTTAGTAACTTACCACCTATTCCATATACTTGCAACATCTGCCACATTGCTCCCCTATCCACTCTATCATAAACCTTTTCTAAATCCATAAATGCAATAAAAACTTCTCTACCTTTATCTAAATACTGTTCACATATATGCTTTAATGTAAACACTTGATCTACACATCCCCTACCCACTCTAAAACCTCCTTGTTCATCCACAATCCTACATTCTGTCTTACCTCTAATTCTTTCAATTATACCCCTACTGTATACTTTTCCTGGTATACTCAGTAAACTTATTCCTCTATAATTTTTTCAATCTCTTTTGTCACCCTTCCCTTTATATAAAGGGACTATACATACTCTCCGCCAATCTCTAGGTACCTTCCCCTCTTTCATACATTTCTTTCTTTTCTTTCAACACACCGGCCGTATCAAACCGAGGTGGGGTGGCCCAAAAGGAAAAACGAAAATTTTTCCTTTTACATTTAGTAATATATACAGGAGAAGGGGTTACTAGCCCCTTGCTCCCGGCATTTTAGTCGCCTCTTACAACACGCATGGCTTACGGAGGAAGAATTCTGTTCCACTTCCCCATGGAGATAAGAGGAAATAAACAAGAACAAGAACTAGAAAGAAAATACCAGAAAACCCAGAGGGGTGTGTGTATATATATACAGGAAGGCCCCGCTTTACGGCGTTTCACTTTACGGCGTTCCGCTAATACGGACATTTCAAATTATGACCAAAACTCGCTATACGGCTCCCCCCACCTGACTTTCTAATACGGTCACCGTGACCCACCCTGTTTGTTTACATTCTCCATGAGCTCAGTAAGCACTAAGTCTCTCCATTTTGTCTGGAAACTCCAAAATTTCAAATGTTTTTAAAAGTTATTTCATATTTTTTATATACTCTGATAATTATACTTATGTATACCTGTACCTAAATAAACTTACATACTGTGCTGGCATGCAGGTACACATTAAAATTGGTAAGTGTCTTATGTCTCAAGACGTCATATTAGTAATGATAATAATAATCATCGAGTCATTTAAATGTCGTATATTATGTTAATATACACATTTTCATTAATCCATCCATGATATTTTTTTCAAAATTATATAATAAACACGATGCATAACATATAAATAAGATAAATACACCCCACAGTAGAATAAATAAACATAAAAGTGAGATGTGGTAGCAGACGACTTGCACAAGTGACGCCATATTAGAAATGATGATAATAATAATAATCATAATAATCACCGAGTCTCATTAAATGTCGTATATTACGTTAATATACACATTTTCATTAATCCATCCATGATATTTTTTTTCAAAATTATATAATAAACACGATACATAACATAAAAAGATGATAAATACACCCCACAATAGAATAAATAAACATAAATATAAGATGTGGGAGCCACATAACTTGTACAAGTGACGGCAAGAATAACATTTTCTCTAATCTAACATAAGAGAAAATGTGTTACTGGGGGTAACTGTAGAAAATTATTCCTTTCGTATGTAAGATAAGATAAGATAAGATTTCGCTCGGATTTTTAACCCCGGAGAGTTAGCCACCCAGGATAACCCAAGAAAGTCAGTGCGTCATCGAGGACTGTCTAACTTATTTCCATTGGGGTCCTTAATCTTGTCCCCCAGGATGCGACCCACACCAGTCGACTAACACCCAGGTACCTATTTGCTGCTAGGTGAACAGGACAACAGGTGTAAGGAAACATGTCGAAATGTTTCCACCTGCCGGGAATCGAACCCGGGACCTCCGTGTGTGAAGCGGGAGCTTTAGCCACCAGGCCACCGGGCCTGGTATACACAAATACAGTTACATAGATTATTATACATAACAACATACGTGTAGAGAACCTAGGATAACCCAAAAAGGTCAGTGTGACTTATTTCCATTGCCTTCACTCACAGCTTCATTTCTTCTCAAAATGTTACGTGAGAATGGGAGTGTTCTTCTTTATTAATTCTACCGTATCAATGTAGAGGCAACCTGTACACAATGTAACTTGTACACAAACCAGACGTGTACACTTCGTTTGTTTACAAAACTTACGTTCGCCTGGTTTGTTTACATAACTCTGCGCCTGTCCCCTCTCATGTACTCATTCTTTCTCTCTCTCATTTATTCGTTTTATCTCATTTACTTACTCCTGACCCTACATTAAGACTACAAATATTTTAAGGTAAGTAATGAGTGAACTGTATATACATTTTTATCGCTCTGGGATGCTTAAATATCATAGAATAGTATGTGTGGGTGGGGTGGCCTGGTAAGGTAGCCTGGCTATAACCATACATACCACACTTGATTTCTTACAATAAATACTACTTGTCTCACCCTAGATTAAGACTATAAATATTTTAAGGTAAGTAATGAGTGCACTATGTGTGTATTGTACTTTTTTATTGTTTTTTGATGCCTGGTTCTATTGCTAACTTAATATATGTTAGTGTAAACTTGTTATCTAGTGTTTGTATGCATTTATAAGTGAAAAAAAAGGGTGTTCCACTTTACGGCGGTAGCCTGGAACCTAACCTGCCGTATAAGTGGGGCCCTCCTGCATATGCTTGTACATGTATGTGTAGTGTGACCTAAGTGTAAGTACAAGTAGCAAGACGTACCTGAAATCTTGCATGCTCATGAGACAGAAAAAAAGGACACCAGCAATCCTACCATCATGTAAAACAATTACAGGCTTTCGTTTTACACTCACTTGGCAGGACGGTAGTACCTCCCTGGGTGGTTGCTGTCTACCAACCTACTAACTATATTTCATATATTTATTAAACAAAAATACCAACTATTCCAACACTATATCCCCCCCTTCTTTTAACATTTCTGTCATGATCCCGTCAGTTCCAGCTGCTTTACCCCCTTTATTCTACGTAATGCCTCATGCACCTCCCCCACACTCGCATCCTATTCTTCTTCACTCCTAAAAGATGATATACCTCCCTGGCCAGTGCATGAAATTACCGCCTCCCTTTCTTCGTTGACATATATACATATATATATTTTTTTTCATCAAACTGGCCGTATCCCACAAAGGTAGGTTGGCCCAAAAAGAAAAATGAAAGTTACTATTTTTACATTTAGTAATATATATACAGGAGAAGGGGTTACTAGCCCCTTGCTCCTGGCATTTTAGTCGCCTCTGACAACACGCATGGCTTACGGAGGAAGAATTCTGTTCCACTTCTCCATGGAGGGAAGAGGATATAAACAAGAACAAGAACTAGAAAGAAAATAGAAGAAAACCCAAAGGGGCGTGTATATATATGCTTGTACATGTATGTGTAGAATGACCTAAGTGTAATAGAAGTAGCAAGAAGTACCTGAAATCTTGCATGTTCATGAGACAGAAAAAAGGACACCAGCAATCCTACTAACATGTAAAACAATTACAGGCTTTCGTTTTACACTCGCTTGGCAGGACGGTAGTACCTCCCTGGGCAGCTGCTGACGATTTTTTGCTTCTGGATACGAAGGAAATTTCAGGATGCACACTTCCCCCTCGAGGGAGGTTCCATAAACAAGTTAATAAATAAAATATTTATTTCTTTGCAAAGGTTACAATATGTGTTTAAATATCATAATATGATTGGAGCAAAGAAAGCCACTATCATGCTGAGGTATTTCAGGCAGACTTAAACTAATACTAACAGACTACTAATAGGTGAAAAGTGTACTAGTAATGGTTACCAATGTTTTGCTGATGGTGGCACCAACTACAGGCAGCCTTTTGAAGCTTCTCCTTACTGTTATTATTATTACTATTATACTGTATTATTGTTAGTGTTTTTTTTTTTTCAACAAGTCAGCTGTCTCCCACCGAGGCAGGGTGACCCAAACAAGAAAGAAAATCCCCAAAAAGAAAATACTTTCGTCATCATTCAACACTTTCACCTCACTCACACATAATCACTGTTTTTTCAGAGGTGCTCAGAACCCAACAGTTTAGAAGCATATACGTATAAAGATACATAACATATCCCTCCAAACTGCTAATATCCCGAAACCCCTCCTTTAAAGTGCAGGCATTATACTTCCCATTTCCAGGACTCAAGTCCGGCTATATAAAAATAACTGGTTTCCCTGAATTTTTTTTTTTTTTTTTTCAACAAGTCGGCAATCTCCCACCGAGGCAGGGTGACCCAAAAAAGAAAGAAAATCCCAAAAAAGAAAATACTTTCATCATCATTCAACACTTTCACCACACTCGCACATTATCACTTTTTGCAGAGGTGCTCAGAATACAACAGTCTAGAAGCATACACATATAAAGATACACAACATATCCCTCCAAACTGCCAATATCCCAAACCCCTCCTTTAAAGTGCAGGCATTGTACTTCCCATTTCCAGGACTCAAGTCCGACTATATGAAAATAACCGTTTTCCCTGAATCCCTTCACTAAATATTACCCTGCTCACACTCCAACAGATCGTCAGGTCCCAAGTACCATTCGTCTCCATTCACTCCTATCTAACACGCTCACGCACGCTTGCTGGAAGTCCAAGCCCCTTGCCCACAAAACCTCGTTTACCCCCTCTCTCCAACCCTTTCGAGGACGACCCCTACCCCGCCTTCCTTCCCCTATAGATTTATATGCTTTCCATGTCAT